ATGCAGGAATGTTTTTACCTGAATTTATCTGGTTCCTATGGATTTTCGTAGAGTTATTGCCCTAAGTTGACGATTTCCATTGATTCTTTTATGAAATTTTGAATTTTAATTGACGAAAATCCCTGAACGTTAACCAAAGAAAAAAATACTTGTCGGAACAAGATTTATAAGCACAAAAAAACGGTACGAGTCGAGAATTAAAAAGCAGATATTATAAACAGATTTGACGCATTTTTTCTTGACAGAAACAATTCCAAGAGCCACGAAGCAATAAAAAAAAAAATAAAAATGAAAAACGCCTGGGATCGGCGGAATTCCTTTTCCATCCGTCCAAAAAATCCCACGGGGAATTGATTTTTGCTCCACATCACATCCAAATCCCCATGATTATCCCTTCAAAGTCCCCCGTAAAGTGACGCGAATACTCCCATCATTATTACGCACCAGTCGGCAATATTCCGAGGCATAATAAAGATTAATGGTCCAGAAAATAGGTAAAGCATAAAGCCGATGCCGCGAATAGTCACCCGGGGGATTTATCAAGCTTCTGCGGCTGTTCCTGTGGAGAAAAAAAATTTCTACTTTCCATCCGACTCCAGGTAGAAATACCAGACGAATATTGTGACTGATCAGAAAGAGCCTCTACTTCGTTGACTCTTGATTCAGTTTCTCTCTGGGTTAGGAGTTCCATTCCCTTTCTCAGGGGTCTCCGATGTCAAGGACACACTCTTCAGCCATTTTTGCACACTGATTTCTAATCCGTCACACTCCACCGGATTTTAATCACTCCTTAAGATTTATTAGCTATTGCTTACTAAATCATTAATTGCTCTTGATGAATAATGTAATGTTTTACGTGGCATCAACGCATTTATCACTTGGCGATTGTCTTTGTGAGATCCAGTTGCGGAATTGACTGCAAGAGAGACCCTGAAAACATTCTCAATTGATTCTCAGCAATTACTGGTAAACTCTCGTACTTTAGATAACGAATAAACTAGTTCAATAAGCTAGGGGGCTTTTGCTGTGGATTTTGAGGCATCGTGATCGTTAATTGTAGATATTCTGCATCGGGCGGCATCATGTGTCAATTGTAGATATTCTGGGGATTAATACTCTGGATGGCATTGTGCTAATTTTTTTTCAATTTTATCTGTTGCAGTGGAGTCGGAATTTCTTGGGACGGAACGGGGGGATGATACCAACAGAAGAGGTGGCTTTGAATATGTCCAACCAGTGAAGATCAGCCAGAACCAGTATGAGGATCCTCGTAAGTCCACTCTGTCAAATAAATAACTAATTTCTTACTATCGGGTAAAATTTCTTAAGGAGTTATACGCAGTTATAAATTCATTTTGTTAAATGAATACAAATTACATTTATTCAGGTAGTAACCACTTTTAAGTTATTAATAGCACTTAGATTATGTGAAAATATTGATATACTGTTTTTGTAGACGATCTCAAGAAGGTCCTTCAAAAAAGACGTTTGGCTGGGAGTAAGATATCTCTGGTTTGCGTTATCTGACATGAAAAAATAGGTCAGATTCTTTTAGTAGATAGATGAATGTTGGGATTGATTGAAAGAATAATAGACCTTGAAAAATAATTGACAAAATGCCCACTATATATGAAAAAAAAGCTTCGATTTTCAACGAGATTTGCGTGAAAAATTGTTTAAAAAACTAGAAACAACTATCGGAAATCTTATTCCTTCGATTAATCCTTGAGGAATGCATGAACAGGTGGTGTTATCTCATATCGGTCGGTTTTGCTGTTTTTGATTAGTCGTGTTCACGGATTTGGAAAATACCGTTTTGAGAACAACCTATGTAAAGGTTCAAAACAAGTGTACAGATAATTAAAAAATTGTTTTCCACTTAGATAGCCTCTGTAGCAGCTTCCAATCGAGTTGATGTTTTCGACGACAAAAAAACCATGATTTTGTATTAAAAAGATCTCTCCTCTTTTCACATCTTGATAGTTGTACTTTTCAGACACCCTGAAGGATTCTTAAAAATTTGTATACATCTCCGTATATATCTCCTTCACAGACCTAGGTATGGTCAGAACTCGGTTATCATGGTCAGAACTGGGCATCATGGCAAAAATCAATATATGTCATATAGCCTGAAAGCCATTTTCCTGACAAATTCAATCACAATGTG